TTTGACAGTTGGTTCACCATTTTTTCCGATTGAAGCAGATTTACTGGTGCGTTCTCTGGGAATCATTACGATTACAAAATGTGTTGGTCCACTGAAAGTATGGCTTTGGAGTGAAGAAATTGTTCCACGAAGCATCAACACCAGAGAGGATATGCTGAAACTCGGCACCTTCATACCTGCAACGGTTTTGAATTCTCAGCAAACTTGAGTATTCAGCATAACCTCTTCACATGCAACTTTGGCCAGCAAACATTTTATCTAAGGAGAGTGGAGTCCACTCATCAGGACCGAAAGGGATGAAGGATTACCACTAGAGATGCTTGAAAGGCCAGATCATTGAGAGAAATCAGTTAATGAAACGGCAGTAAAATCTGTCCTCAAGATTGGCCAACCGATCGAAGAAAAAGCCGGAACTTGGATCGAAATCCAACAATTATGCGTAAGGGCTTCGAATTCAACATTTCCAGAAAAATGAGAATCCGGTCACGGTTCGTGATGATTCCTCAATCATCATGAAGCCTAAAGACCGTTCTGACCTTCATCTCATCTAAAAAAGACATTCCAGATGTAGAATTCTTTTTGAATGTTCTGTGTTTTCGAAAATCCCTCCATGTTTACATAATTTTGCTATGATATGACGGACTTTTTCTTTTGACATTTTTGGTACTTTATTTGATTCCAATTTGAGATTTTATCATTTTATATTGTTATTCTTTCTATATTTTGTACTTATATTGAAGTTTTTGTGTTTGCTTCTGAACTGTACATATATTGTTTAAATCTGATATAATATGGCTACCGTCACATTTTCGGACGGACGCAGTGGCTGCTGGACTTAGCGTCACTTATTGGTTATTGTGTCGGATACTCTGCGGAGTAACTTAACCCTGGAAGAAACACAATTTCCGTAAGGCTTTGTATTTCCATTTTCTAATAATACAGAGACGTTTTCTCCTAGAATTTTGTCCTTTTTTGAATTTTTGGGACCCGGGACTAGGAAAAGCGTACAGGAGTGTTTCTATTGGAAACAATTGGGACGGCCACTGTCGAAATAAATTTACACCAGATGATTTGGAGATAACCTCAATCCACTCATGCCTGTGAGATAGAAAATCTGGTTTGCTAACTAATCAATGATTTTGAAGTAACTTTTTCAGGCCAACAATGTCTACAACTCACGTTCGTAACCTTGAACTGGTTTCATTTGCTGCCAAGAAATCCTATCGCGTCCAGATTTTGTTGGAAATAGCTCACTTGTTACTTTTTGATCTACAGCTTTAATAAACAATAAATGAAATATCACCATAGCATAAAATCGTTGAACCTTTATCACTATATTCTGTAAATCAACGTAATTTACAACTGTTGAGTTCCTGTCAACCTCTTTTATTCATAAGATTATTTGCGCAGGTGTACAGTTAATGTTCTAATGCAGAAAAAGTATGCTCTGAGTAATCATGCCCTTGTTTTGTTCAAAAACAATTATCATGACATGAATCAGCTCTACACAAGAATATTTCCTGTTCTACTTATTGCCCTTTTCTCTTTATTTCTATTTTTCGGCACCTCATCCTACGCCTTAAATATTAGCCTTGATATTGCTGAAGACTTGGTTGCTTTATCAAGGAGCCCGTTAAATTATTATCTGGCGAATCTCGACAAGGAGATAGTTACATATTTATCTCATCACTTTTTGTAATATAGTGACCTGAATTTAACTCGCACTGATTCACAAACAGCAATGGTTCGTCACAACCCAACCGGCATAACTCACGACAAGTACTGTATTATGCATTTCAGAGTCTGAAGTATTATCTACAGTCTTGCTGGAAAAATGTTTAACCGCTACAAGAAGCTGGAGTATCTTATCAAATATTAATCTAACTGAATAGCCTTTGTGGAATATATATTGATAATATTATCATTGTGACCCTTCCTGTAAATTGACTCTTGACTTTTGTTATTTGAGAAAAAATTATTATTATAACTATTAAAATTTGATCTGGGAACCAGGGAGTCTCTATATCTACGAATCCGCTGGCAGCAAAACAAGTGTATACCTAAAAGTTAATCAATCTTGATGAATCACTCTGGTGTGTAGTGAGATTAATCAATACCTTAAGATGTTTGGTTGAGGTTATCTTTAGAAAACCTTCTGCTGACAGTGAGTACAACCACCACATGCTGAAGGGATTATCCCTCTCCGCCAGTCACGGATACCCTCATATTCCAATTTAAGCAGACTTCAATCTTCCTTAAGTCAACTTTGCTGACCACATATACAGTAGAGCTGATAACTGTACTGAAGCTTGGTGCTTCAGCCCTAATAAGGAATCGTGAATGTTTGGAAATGTGAAGTCACCATGTCAGAGACGGCCAGACGCTATCACGATTGAATTTCATCTTCATGAAGGAAGAAATCCTCATTGACAACCTTTCGATCTTGACTCCACTGGAAAAGTCATCAAGCCATCACTTCAGTTTTATTGGCAAAGTTGGTTGAAATATAATAATAATATGTTACTGATAGCAAGTATTGGAACTCAAAATGTCTGGATGTCTGAGCTTTAAGGGACTATCTGCAGCAAGTGGACTTTGAAACCGACTCTCAGCTTGGTGTGAAACCTCACCGTGATTTCTTACTGACTGAATCCTCACTTGTTAAAAACTAGTTTATCCCACACATTTAAATTTACAATTAACTTATAATCACAAGTAACTGCACTCTTCTGATCCTAAAACTTTGATGCTAGTACTGGACAGAATATATACAAGCTAGTGACAGTAACATATGTGGAAATTTTATACTAACAAGAGAATAATGTACAAATAGGCTTCAGCATCAGATCAAAATAATCGACAAATTCTGTTATTATTCCGTTATGCAACCTTTCTTTCAAAAGCCAGGGCCGAAGTTTCCAACTAGTTAGTTCCTGAACACCTGGCCAACAACGACATTATTGCTGCAAACCTTCCGTCGGAACAGTAGTTTTAGGTTTTTCAACCCCTGCGCACTATCCAGGATACTGATATCTTCGTCTCGTGTATTATCAGAAGGGAACCTAAGGGCCGGTTTGGTGGCGAAAAGTGAATCCTCCAAACAAGAACATTTCACCCGACCCGGACAAGGTAACGCTGAAGGACTGGGATGCATTCTGAGCAATAACGCATTGTGTAATCTTCTCACACTCTCCAATTAGAGGCACAGTCCCAAGGAAATGGAAGGTAATATATGTCACACCATCTTAATAAGATAATGCCAATACAACGAATTTTCAGACTACCTACCGTTGGCACTTCTCTAAAAACTTGCAAAAGTGAGGGAGTCCATGATAAATGCATATGCATAAACTTCTTTTCCCCTCAAAATGTGTTATTCTGAAAATGTCTCAAGGAACTGTATGTTTATTTGTTGGTGTATAGGTGTATCATAAGTGGTCTTCTAATCACTTATAGAATTCTAAACATTTCTGAGAACTCCATAAGTATTTACTTCAGTTTTTTGTAAGGTAAGATGGAACAGAATGTACTGTATTCACATCTGCTGTTTACGAGTGGACAAATCCTGGAATTCTCTCTCAATCAGGTGGAATTAGGCATATTCTTAAGGGCTCAGAACTTCATTTCATGATCACTTACTAATACTCGTTTACTAGTTAATAAACCTAGGTTCTCACCTGGAGGTACCTGTGATTCACTGTTACTAGACGTTGGTTCTACTCCATCTGTTTGAGCCGTTTAAACTGGCACTATCTAGAAATTACTTAGATTAGTATTTATCCCATGCTTATTCTGCAAAGGTTACTGTTTAAGATATCTCACTTATAAGAGCTACGATCTAATTATAGAGAAGCAATACCAACAAAATAAATTTAATTTTGTTTTACTTACACTTAATGCCATCAGTTACTCTAGAGGGTTTTCAAAGGAAATCCTTTAAAAGTAAAGAAAAACTAGATTAGAAACTATAGCGAGAGAATGGATGCAAGGTTGTTATCCCATGTCTTAAATAAACATTGGATTTTATTTTCATTTGACTAACCCTCTTCCTCCCCGAACGACGGGTAGCGAATTTCAGTTTCCCCTCAACTACAACTACAGACCTTGGATTCCAGTTGGAGGCTAGACTTGTCAACTTCCTCAAAAATTCCTAAAAATCATACAATCCCGAATTATTGCCTTCCACCAGCAACCTAACTGTTTGCTAGCACGATTTCAGAAACATTTGAAAGCCTCAGGTTGACCTAAGAACAAATTACAGTGAACTGAAGCTCGTCCTGTCGTCCTACTTGGAATAGTGGAATTAGGCCTTGAATACAATGCAGCCGATCACTTTTATGGAGCGACAATTTATTGTAGGGGAGAATTTGTTGATCCTACATTAATTTGAGTGGATGTGGATTTGAACTCGTATACGAGTGGGTTTATAAACACGATGGGATCAGTTAAACTCGCTACCACTCGAGTGAGAACAAATTATGTTTTCGTCCAGTCAGGATTAAGTACAATGTTGTATGTTTGCATTTCATCAGTCGTAAAAGTCTACCATTACATATCAACCCCACAACTACAATACGATCCTCAATAATTGTTGATCACAATAAAACTTAGTCAATATCGGATAACTGGCCTAAAAGAACAAGCTCGGAAGGAACTTTGAGGTTTCCAGGTCATCTAAAAGACTACTTATTCCTTTTTATTAACTTTTCTATATTCTACAGCCGTTTCCGCATATTTCAGTTTTAGTTGTATCGAAGGGAAAAATTAACCAAGCATATCACATAAACAGGTTAAATTATTCACTATCAAATGCGTTCCACTTGATCCCAAACCATTTGATAACTGTGACAACATTGCCTTCGAAGCACTGTTGCACTGTAAACTTTCGGGTTCGCTTTTGATAATTTATAGTTATAAATCCTCTCATCCTACTTTCCATCTGTTTCGAAAACATCAGACTCTACCAGGATGCATCCATACCTCATTGGAACCAGGCACAAGCTCGTCATCATTTAGCATATCAGTGTGTTTATTTGATGAACTGCGCTACACAAAGTGGTTTTCTGTAAATCGCAAGTTGCGTAGTAGTCGAGGTTATCCTAGTTGATATCCGTTTGTCCAAGTAATTGGTAAATATTAATTATAATTACGACTAAAAACAGATCAGTTTTTCTAAGTTTTGATAAAAATTTGTTAGCATAGCGATGTCACGAATATTCAGGACTTGACAACTTTATGATGGATAGCTGGTTTACTTTCTCATGTAAATGCTTTTGTAGTAATTAAGTAGTCCTGCTTCGACGCCAAATGTATCGATTGAGTCCCTACCCAAGAAATCTAGAAAGAAAACATATAGTGGCCATTCCTTTAAAATGTAGAAAGCCAACGAGGGAAACACGCTCCAAAAAGTCGCTTTCACGCCTACCATGGGGTATATAGTGCAAGATTCCTCCTTTCTGTCATTTTGCGTTAGGAATGCTGCCAGATTTTCTACTTTTCGTTCACTTTTACGCCGATGTCTATTATTTGTTCGACCATAACCATGAAGTCACTGACGACTGGAATGAGTTATGTTGGTAGGTGTCAACTACCTGGTTGGGGCTTACAAGATGATGGTAATCGATGGTTAGAGAACCTGAATGCCATGGCTCAAAACCGTTTGCAATGGCGCAGCTGCATCCATTCTTTGTGTTTTCTCAAATTCTAATCTTCTGAATTCCTCATCACATTTATCTTTTTATTTTAAGTATATTTCACTAAAATTTACTTTTTGAATAATATCGTCGAACCCTGATCTCTCCGACTACTGCTAATACTTCTACTACCTCTACTACTATGGGATTTGAAGTGAAAATTGCATCTCTGTGCTAATGTGGTATGACAACTTGAACTGATGTACGTATGTACGATGTTCTACGTTGTACCTGACTGATTGACTGATATTTCCATCACAAAACAAGCACTTTCATATGGTTAACGTAATTCAAAACATACATGAATAAAAACCTACACAAAAGTCATGCTCGTCACACCGTTGTAAGTACAAAGTTCAACCGTCATCTACGAAGATTTGTAAAACATGGACAGGTTATACACTATGTGTTAAGAATATGTCATAGTTGGTAATTGCATATAGAGCCAAGTTAGCTTTCACTACATACACTTAATTTGTCTCGCAATCTCAGATATTAGTGAGAAAACTTAACTAAAAATAGTTTTTCATTTAGAAATAGTTTTAAAGTATGACGACGTTTGCGACTGTAGCCCAACGATTCAGAATCAATAATTTTCTCCATTGAATTCGCAAATTTAAGAAAAAAAACCGTTACGGCAGTGTATAGCTGCCATATTTTTTTAAACAGTCGACAACATGAATTGGGATTTACGATAATGCTCGCTAACGATAAACCGTCGGCCTGCAAAAAAACAATAAAGAGCCTTCATTTCCTACCACTTTGCACGACCATGTCTCCTTTTACAATGCTTTCGTATTTTGTCTCGTCGCAGAAATACCCTTGCGTTGAGATACCATGTAATTTAGCGAATTCTTTGGCTATGAGAGGGATAAGAACTTTGACGTTAATGTGCTTAATGATTATGAATGCTACTGTAAAACTTGCATTTCTGAAGTAGTCTTTTTAATGAAATGCGCAGTAGTGTAAAGTGACTGTCAATCTCAGGTTTCATGACTCTATATAGCGCCTGGAAGTTTTCGGATCATCATCCATTAATCGCTTAACCATGGCCATCTAAGGTGTAGAGTAACAATCCAATTAATTTAGTAAACTTAAAAATTCGCCCCTCGTATCTTCTTGCTAAAGACATGCATCCAACGCATACTTGACAGTCCAATAATAAGCTTATGTAGATCATCACACCAATGAGACTTAGACTGAGGCATTGGCTGGATAATGTTGGCACTTCAGTCTGTTATTGCGGAAGATATGTTCAGAAGAACAGCTCGTAGTTTGTCGGATCTTGAACACTTACTTCGATTCCAGCTGCTAAACCACTGCTGGTGGGCTTTTATGTTGACGGCAACGTTTAGGATTTGTTAAAATTCCTAATTTCGACACCCTCCTTTTCAATTGTTACTACTTTTATGACTAATAACCTGGACTTTGGATATGGAACATGGTTGTTTACGGCCTGAGTTTCAGCCGGTAAACTAAACTATACGAAGACCTTTGTTTCCGTCCTAGTACCGTTTAAAAAAAATTAGAAACATTGTACTGTACTCTTCTCTTTGGCTTTTCTGTGTTTGGTCGCAGGGTGTTCGTCTGTCAAACTGTTCACTTGGTAACCAGACAATTTACTGAAGTAAACCAATAATTCCTCAGTTTGCAAATTGTTTACAGGAAATGGATGTTTCTGTATATGTAACTCACCGCAGTAACAGGTAACCCTGAAGTTGACTGACCAGTTGTCATTTGGCTGAGCATATTTCTCTGACTGTATATCTACAAACTTGGTAGGACACAGAAGGTTCTTATCGAACAATTCATTCGCTCGCACCAATTAAAACCTTCATGATTGGTACATTTATGAGTATAAACTAATTGGCAGTACGATTAACAGTATGTAACAGTTAGAAATTAGTTCAAAATAGTAACATAAGTAAAGAGTACCAAAATATATTCGCTTGAACGTGTGTGGCAACAGAACTTTTATTATAGTAATAGCATCATAGAAATACATTTTCATTATACATCGTTAAAGGAAACCCGTTTGTGCTCATGACAAACTGCTAACCCCATAAATATAAACGTCTAAAATCGAAAGTACAGTGTTAGTGGTAATAATTTTTAGGAACTATGAGGCTTAAATACGAAAGAGTAATCTACATTATGCAGCTTTTCGTACTGAGACGTAGCCTAATGTCCAACGTTCAGTGGTATACTGTCAACACAACGCGATATTAATTTATGCCCATGATTATAGCTATGTTTATAGCTCAAAGTTTTTTGTTAGAGAAATCTAGCCATAGATAATTTAGTTTCTTCATTACATGTGCATTGGATCTAAAGCAAATGTCGAGATTATAATAATTGGAAGTGTTTCGAAATTAGTGTCCCTAATGGTTATTAGGTTGAATCTGTTGAAAACCGTCATCAGTTCGCAAATGATGTTCACCATTGGAAGGCATCATCCTTCTTTCGAGATGACGACCAACTACAACACTTATCGCAACCTGCTTTTTAATTGTGACCAACTATGTATCTAACATATGAATCACTTCTGTCTTTGTATGGTATTTCTGGACAAAGATTGCAAAATATTAGTGGGCTGAAGTCCTAGATGTAAATGAAATCTCCAACGTTTTTAAACAATTTATACGAAACAAAATTTCCTTAGTTTTGTATTTAGATCAAATCTTCTTTCGAATAAAAAAGAACAAGTCCTTAATAGTTATATAATTTTGTATCCAAAACATATATGTTTTTGGGAAAAGTTCGTGGTAAAAGGAGTTAACATCTTTTCTTCACGTCTTGTCATTTGTAGTATCTTCAGCTCTGGTTAAATATATCGAGTATGCTTGTGTGTCATTGGGCATAATTGAATTTTTGCAAAATTTAACAACTGCTAGTGTAATTTTGATTGAGTTTGTAGTATAATTTAACTTAACTACATGAACTTGTTTCAACATGTCTGCAATACAGATACCTACCACCATCTGTTTTCCTAAACATTTTAGCTGGTGATACACTTAAATGACACTGCGGTTGACATGCTGGATACCAAAGTTTTGCGGAACCACCAGATACATCTCTTCTTCCCCGGTTCTGTTCAAACAACCAAACCGTGATAAACTACGGTCTAAAAGGGCCAACCCACCACCACACCACTCACTACCTTTTTATGATGAAGCACCGGCCGATAGCTTTCCGAGTAAACAAGTAGATATAGTTGGTCGATGGGGATCTACAGACAATAAAATAAAAAAATTAAGGTAATATGTCGTATTTTTCTGAGTTCATATATAAATTAATACAAGGCTAGTCAGCAGTGGATTGATAGTTTCATATTCAACCAAGTTTTTATCGTTTTTTATGATGCTGCAAATATTTCTAGTTAGTCTTGTAAAACTAATCTTGATTGGGCAATTTCTTGAGCCTCTTAAAGCATTACACCCTTGTCTGATTGCATTGTCAACTTCCTAACCAAACACTTCCAATATTAGAAAATGCGTCTAGATATAGAAAGAGACCTTGGAAATGTTTGAAAAACAAACGCTTTAGTGTTATACCACTTTATCTGAGACACCAATACAAATCATTCAGTGTCACCGCCCAAAGCCCCAATTGTAGCTGCCACCTTGGCGTGGTGGTCGGGCCTGCCTATTGAGCTATATTGGCTGGAACACATGTTCCTGTAGGTTCTGCCATGCCGAGCAGTTCGACTGGAGAACGGTGAGACTAAAAGCAGCAGCTCAAGGTCTGAGGGCGAAGTCGTACTGCTGACCGTAGAGGGGTGTGACAGCAGTAAGGTGTTTCTCTCGAACAACCAGTATCTGCAGCGATTCTGCCTTCTCACAAGCAAGGAAGGGGTTAGAAAAGGTCGACCTTAAAAATGTCACACCTCAGCTTACCTCACGGATTTCTGTCTCCGGCGGTAAGGCCACTCGAGAAGCGGAGCTAACGCTTCAAAATCTCCCCATATAAAAGGCCGTGCGTGACCGGCCTCAAGCAGTTGTCCCTTGAACTCTGTGAATACGCTCCCAGGTTGCTCAGATCAATGCTAATCCGATTTCCTTTTCAGGATCCTCAAGAAGTACCCTTCCACGGCATGAACGTCCGAGAAGTAACAACCGCCCTCATACCTGTAAAAGCACACGAGAACAAATCGGTCACAATCAGATCCTTCCTACATCTCCTAATAACTCTCTTATCTCCACAACCAACCCTCTTTTCGTTCCTTTGTCACCTCGCGCAGCTGATACAAACGTTTCGAGTTCACGAAACGTCATTCCCGGTCTCCGGAAACCCCAATCTAAACTACATAATGGAGCTTTTAGTTTTGGAAGCTTGTGTCAAATAGGGCAGCAGGCTTCATTAGCTAGGACTCTGGAGTCCCGTGCCACCGATGTGTGTTGCGCCTCCGAAACGCGCATACAGGATCCGAGCAAAATCAATAATTTGATTCCATGTTGTCCGGATAGGGAATCAACTAGGTTTACTTTCCGTGTATCTAGAAGCCCTGCTGCTACTTACCGTGGCCTCGCTGGTGTAGGCATAGCATTGACCGAAGTTTGACTGAAGGCCAGTTGAACTGATGCCTGAAGTGTTTTGCTCATCGATTCAGTGTCTTAGATTGAGAATGAATAATAAGCCTATCCTTTTCCGAGATAGTTTCTTTAACGTTTGGACTCATAATACCGGATTCCCTGATAAATCTGAACAGTTGTCTACTGTTACCTATTGCCACTGCCATTTCCATCTCTCTTGGTTTCGCTACCCACGACTGTTCGCGATCATTGTGTAGGTTTTTTATCAGCCCGCGCCCAAGCTGACTCTCCTGTTCATCGTACTCAGAGCCAGACGGAATGAGTTTCCGTCCATCTATCATTTCGGTAGATGCTACTGATATCAACTGTTTCTCCCTAACCTTATGGTTCACCTTACTAGCAGACATCACTGCTGTTTCCACAGCTTTATTGATATCACTCCAAGCTGCGTCGTAGTGGGCATCAGTCAGTCTTTCGTATACCATAGTTTTTCAAGTTTTAGGTTATCCTACATAGTTTTTTCAAGCGTTAAATTACTTTGGCTTACTATACATTTACACCTTTATCTTATAGTTACTCTGATAATTAAAGCATCGGTTTCAAAGTAACTTAAAACCTTATTTTACATCATTTATAGGTATTGTCATGGTGAACTATTAAAAAGCATACCCACATCATTCGAAAAACTCCAGGAGTTGTATTATCTTGAAGATAACATGTGGTTCCATTCCATTGATATTCCTCTGCAACATCCTGAAATGTTAGAATTTTCTCAATTTGTTACACGTACAAAAATCATACCATGGACCACGGAATCACATAAAAGCAATCCCATCTTAACGAATTATTTAAAGTATCTTTTTTCTGAAGAGTTGAAGTCTGTTAACAGTAAACCTGTTAATATCCATGACCAAAGTATCAATGGACTTAATTCACGCGCAGATCATCGACGTAAAAAAATATCAATGATTATGGAAACAGTATATCGTGCATTTTTATCTTCAGGAACCGAATCATTAGTTAATGAATTATCTTCACAAATTGATGAACGTGCTACCATAGAAATATTTTTAAAGAGACTAGTCGATCATGATGTATTCAAAAATTTCGAGGAAGTAAATGAAGATATTTATGAACCAGTGAATGAAACAGTTGTTGACGCTGAACGTTGTGTACATTATCGTATACGGTCTGAGTTAGCTTGGCAGCTGCGAGGACCATTTCCTTTAAAGCCTGTAAGTGAACATAATTTTTGCAAGAAATTACTGTCAAGGTATTGTTTACATACTTAAAATACAAGGTTACTTTATTTAATAAATTGTAAATCTCAGCGTGTACTAGAAACTAATTAGCAAGGCTTATGATTAGTCTGTTGTAGTTTATATAAAACGGTAAAAGATACAGCAACAGTTAGTTAATGACTAAAATAAAAGCTGATATTATGCTCTGTATAAAATACCATATATATATATATATATATATATATATATATATATATACTAATTCCCCTAGAGGATAACTTCCAAAGTTTCACATCACTTATTTGCCCCATCCTAACATAAATTAGTATCTATGTATGAGTGAGTTATGAGTTACAACGGAGTATACTCCATATCCAGTGAAGCTACTTGTTTTAACTATTTCAGACTTGAAACAATTGATGCAGTTTAGTTTAGTGAAGCGTTATTGAATTTTGCGTTTTTAACGAACGACAATACTAAGATTGTACCAACAGACTGGAAAGAAAGACACCTGATCAATATACCAAAGAAAGGAAATCTGAGCAAGTATGAGAACTACGGAGACATCATCCTTCTCTCAATACCAGGAAAAGTCTTCAACAGGGTGCTGTTAAACAGAATGAAGGACTCCGCAGACGCCCAACGGGCTGGATTCCGTAAGGATCGGTCGTGTACCCACTAAATTGCAACATTACGGATGATCGTGTAAGAGTCAACTGAATGGAACTCACCACTCTACATCAACTTCATTGACTACGAGAAAACATTTGATAGCGTGTACAGGATGACGGTATGGTGTGTCTGAAAAGATAGTCAACATCATACGGAATTCTTATGATGGGCTAAACTGCAAAATCATGCATTGAGGACAACTCACAGACCTATCAAAAGTGAAGACTGGTGTCAAGCAAGGTTGCTTACTCTCACCCTTTCTCTTTCTCCTGGTGATCGACTGGATTATGAAGATGCCAACATCTGGGGGGAGACACAGAGTACAGTGGACAGCTAGGATGCAACTGGAAAATCCAGACTTCGGAGATGATCTGGATCTTCTATCGCACACGCCACAACAAATGCAAGGGATGATGACCAATGTAGCAGCAGTAAGTCTGAATATACATACACAAGGGGCATTGCAAGATTCTCCGTATAGTAATCTCTCCCTTGTAACTGACACACAACATGCAGCAACCAAATCACACTATACGGAGAAGTTTTGGAAAATGTAAGAACCTTTACATATCTGGGCAGCATCGTTGATGAGCACGGTGGATCTGATGCAGATGTAAAAGTGCGGATCGGCAAAGCAAGGGCTGCATGTCTACAAGTAAAGAACATCTAGAACTCAAAACAGCTGTCTGTCAGCTAACACCAAAGTCACTGTTTTAATTACAAACGTCAGGATAGTTCTACTATGTGGGGAGGGGACTTGGAGAACCACAAAAGCCATCATCCACAAGGTACATGTGTTTATTAATAGTTGTCTACTCAAGATACTGAAGATCCGTTGGCAACAACTTACTGTGGGAGAGAAAAAACCAGATTCCAGCGGAGGAGAAAATCAGGAAGAAGCGGTGAAAGTGGATAGGACACACTGTGAAAAGCACCCAATTACGTCACAAGACAATCCCTCACTTGGAACGCTCAAGACCAAAGAACACATTACGTCGAGAAATAAAGGGAAGCCCAGGACTGAGTTGTTTGGAGAATGCTGGTATGTCGCCTATGCTCCTTCGGGGATAACAGGCGTAAGTAAGTAACATTAAGATATGTAAGAATGTTATTAATGTAACAACCAATTTTTGTTTCCAGGGAATGATTTTCTGAATAAACTAATAACATTATTGTTTCATCTTTGATTATAACAAGTATTAATGCATGTTTATGAAGATCCTCTTACTTTTACATTGCATAACACTTTTATTCTCATTTTGTTTTTTTTTCAAAACAATTAGCGTTTTGATTTAGACGATCAAATTTGCTTTCTAGACAACCCTATTGTGTGTAATTATCGCCCAGAAGCATTTGATTTGCAATTGGTTGAATGTTATAATTTCAATTGTTTACCGTTCGCACGAACAATCGATTTTTCTGAATTTGCTCGATCTATTGCAGGTGATTCGTGAGAACGGTTATTAATATTATTATGAATTTTACTGTATTACATGCTTTAATTCTTTATTTTGAACTGTCCTTAAAGATCGACTTTTAATATTCATTAGTGTAAGGAGTTCTGGAGATTTTATTAGTATGCATCACAAACTGATGTTAATTAGGTAGCCATTTAAAATCTGGAAGCAGTGCACATATGTTTTATCCTATTATGAGATTCAGTATCGCATATCTATCACCACTTCAGGGGTTAAACCCAGAATTTTGACGCCTTGTGGTGAGCACTTAACCTTCAGACCGCTGTCTCAACATTAAATGGCTTTCATTTTTAGCTCCAACCAAACTTCGTGTGACATTGCACAACTATCTTTTAATCCCGATGTTGGGTAACTGCCTCACACTGAACATGGCTGGACTACATTAGTCAGGTCTTCTCACGAAATGGTTGAAGTTAGAAATGTAAACCATTGCATGTGGTTACTCAGTGATCAACAAGTTATATGCCCTCCATGAGACCAAACGATCCTGCTTTTGATCCCCGGTGGGCTCATGGGGGCCTACTGTCTGTGAGTTTCATTCTCAGATGAGACAGATGTTGACCGCTTTCTGACTTTTACTGGTTGTCTCAGTAGAGTCAGTTTGTGAAATGAACTACTGAACTACTCAGTTCATGATAAAAGTTGACTCCCAATAAAATATTTTTCAAAAACCACCTCATTCGCTAATAATGTTCAAACTAAATTCATGAAAAAATACTTCATTTTACTGTTAATCAAATCTTTTTCAAGTAATCGCTGCTTGTAACGTTATGTTTTACGTTTCTCGGCTGTGAAACACTGTTACCCATTTGTTTATTTATTTTTGAAAAGAAAAATAGGTTAGTGATGTTGATAGGCAAAATTATCAGCTTAATAAATAAATTGATCTTTATTCTTGCATATAATTGTTCAACTTAATATATCGATTGTTTAACCTATTGTCCAGTTGTATTTGAACTATTAGTTGGGTATGTCAGTCTGTACCTAGTTTAAGCTTTATTTTTCAGAATTATCAGCAGTCAATTATGTTTGTAACATCCAGGGTACTTAGAACTCGTTTGTTAATACTAACTAATTTAGTGTAATAGTCAGATTGCATAAAGGCTCAATTTGATTTCCCATTGAATTGGTTTGAGCAGGTAAATTAATTATCATATTTGATAATCATGTTGTTCATGTTAGTGATTATTTATCCTCTTGCCTAATTGTATCTAATCATTTCTAATTTTTCTTAATAAAAAAATGTAGGCTATTGGTCTCGTACACCATTTTGGGAAGGAGATCCTTGTGAATTCGGTTTACTTGGAATTTTCGATGTAAATCGTTCGGAATGTGTACGAAATGAAGTCATTTGTTCTGGTCTTCCAGATGATGTAAAAGATAATGTTTTAATACGACATGGAATTGCTGAAGGTATCCTTACTGCATTTGCATGGGCTTCAGCACAAGCTTATAATCAAGGTTAGCTTAAACAATTCATTTCATTCAAGTTTATATATTAAAAGGTAAACGGAATAGTTCTAGAAGGTTTTCCTTATATGTATTTATCATGAAATACTTGGTACTAACTGTTTTATTCCACTGTAGGACTTTTTAATTCTACTCATCTGGGATTCATAAATAGTGTACTAAACTACCTCAAACTTCTCATTAAGTTTTAATTCCATTGTTTTATTGAATACTTTTTTTATTACAGTTACTTCAGTGTTACATGTTATCTTCAATACAAAGCTCTTAAGTAAACCCCCTAGAAATTACAACTCATTTCATTTTGTGAAGTAATTCTTTAAACCAATAACCGATGAATATGGAAAATCCATCTAGCCGTGTGTCGATACTTGTAATAATTCTATTCTGTTGTTCACATTTTTCAAGGTTTTACTTTATATAACGAATTAACTTATCCGTTTTGCGTTCAATTGATTCTAATGGATGGAAACTATATTCAGTTGTTACGCTTTCAATTGAATTCAATAACGTCGTTATGGAAAGCAGAAGATTCGATGTTACCATATAATTTAGCTTGGTATTCTCCACGGGTAGAATTGTGTAAATTACAATCAAATTCAGAGTATGTTTTAGTTGTTATTGTTGCTATTATCATATTTTGTACAATGACATGTTCATTGTATTATAATATAAAGATAAAATCTTACTAGAAATTTGATGAGTTGAATAATTTTCATTAGTGTTGCTTTGAACAACTTGAAATGTTGACTGGTCGAATAATAACAATTTTCAAATTAGATTATCTTTGTTAATCTAAAGGTTTGTTTGGTTAACGGACATTTGTTTTAGAGTGATCAAGATCGAAGCAGGTGAATTGCGATTTGAAAATATAATCTAATAACCAATAGTTATGCTTTTTAGAACAAAAGGATTGTGAATATGTACACAAAACTTCAGTAGGGAATTCACATTTAATGTGACAGGTGTAAGCAATAGAATGGGTTTCTTCAGTGGAGTTATTATACAAAGATAAATATGTCAACAACGCTTGTTTCAATAAACTACGATGCACTATTATGGAACTGGCATTAAAAGAGTAATACTCATCAGCTTTTTTGTATGTAAATATTTGAAAGATAAAAATACTAAAAATATTGATACATTTCCATTATTTCATTAGATGTAATGAAGCATTCACTTTAAATGATGAAGCTATTTCGCTTTTAACATCTGCTATGTTATATCCTGTGGACAAAATTACTCCCAGTGAGTCGCTTCGTCCTTATCTTGCTGATGGTGTAGCACCAAGAAGCTATCTTATCAATAAATCTTCAGATAAACGTTTAATTCCATCTTCTAAGGAAGACAAGAATTATTGTGAGGCATTCGGTGATGTAGACAAATTGCAACTTAGTGCATCAGAAAAGAAAGCTTTACAATCTAGTTCTGAATTAACTAAATCGAAGAAATCGTTGCGTTTGATGACCTCAAAACGTCCACATCCAAATGAAATATTCTTCTTCAAAGTATGTTTCCTTTTCATGGAAAAATATTTTTATGATCTAATTGTTGCATAAATATTATGCATAACACTTCACTTTCAATGATCAAATTAACTTACAGATTTATGCAGATACAAATGACGTATTAACTGAATAGCCCTGTAGAGTACAAATTAATACTTCAATATTGTTCATTTCATTTGGTCAACCATAATTCATTATCCTCATCAAGCCATCATCATCGAGTCAGTCAGTCAGTTACAACGTAGAACATCGTACGTACGCACATCAGTTCAAGTTGTCATACCACATTAGCACAGAGATGCAATTTTCACTTCAAATCCCATAGTAATAGAGGTAGTAGAAGTATTAGCAGTAATCGGAGAGATTAGGGTTCGACGATATTATTGAAGAAGTAGAATCTAGTAAAATATACTTAAAATAAAAAGATAAATGTGATGAGGAATTCAGAAGATTAGAATTTGAGAAAACACAAAGAATGGATGCAGCTGCGCCATTGCAAACGGTTTTGAGCCATGTCATTCAGGTTCTCTAACCATCGATTACTATCATCTTGTAAGCCCCAACCAGGTAGTTGACACCTACCGACATGGCTCATTCCACTTGTCAGTAACTTCATGGATTTGTGCCATGTTTTGGCCTGGCCGTCCCTCATTATTGAGTTGTTTAATATATATTTTCTTTTAATAGTAATCACCATTCAAATATTTTCCAGCAAAACACTATTCATTATATTATTTAGGAGGTATTTTTTTAATTTGGTAATCCAACTGTTCATGTGTTTACACTACAGAAAAGATTTACTTAAATGGATCACTATGTATTCGTTACCTACTGCGAAATTGCAATAGTGTGGGAGTTAGTAAAAGTGAAATCACGTTGTGACTGACTCACTGAGATTAGTTTAACAATACTTTGACCTAGAAAATAAAAGGAATAATATTTAACTACTCATAAGTAGTAATTTTACAGTACGCAAATTTCATTAGTTGTCCTTCATAGTGGTTTCTAGTTTAATTGCTGCAAAACTGAACCTACCTGTTATCCAAGTATGATTTTTTTATGACTAAGTTTCTTTTCTGTTACCGTAGGACTACTAGAGTTTTAAACATATCTTAAAAACAATTACCATAATTAAGAATTTCATGTCAGTTTTATTCATTCAAACAAACATTAATTACTACCATTTATAATTTGCTCGATTCATGGGATTAAATAGTTTATAGAAGTGAATCCTAAATAAAACAAGGTTTTTCTCGAGTTGTATGATTCTGGATCATTTTTATTTCCTATAGTTATTCAATCGTTTCGAATTGGATGTACATCGGGTCAAAAATGTTTGTAATGAATAAGTATTTGAATGAAATCTTTTCAAAATGAGCTTCCCAATTTAGTTCGTTGGTGTATTACTGTCTTTCTAAAATGATGAATTTTAACAACCTGTTTATTTACTATGTCATTATTTCGAATGTAGTTAACAGACAAAAATACTCTCGTAAAAGAAATCAAAGAAACAATGCCAGAATTCGGTGGACAGTTTGGAGAGCTTCCAGAACCTTATAATAGTAAAGTAAAGGAATATCATGCGTCCAGACGTTATTTGCAACCACGATCGCGTGTTCAACCTCCTCCACGTCGTTGGCGTTAACAGAATTCACTCGATTCACTTCAGTGATTTCATGTAATCGTTTCTTTGAAGTTGTTGTAAATCAAACTGCAACTGTATAGAAATATAAATTTTTCTTTTTGCATTTTGACGTAATTTTGTACTTAGTGTAATAATTAGAAATACATTTTATTGATTGTCATTTTTTAAAACTCCCTAAAGTGAAATTCAGCATTTTAATTTTAATTAGAAAGAAATGCAGCTTTAATACACCACTTAGTTTGTTTTAGTGAGCATCATTTCAGTCTCTATTTTATGTAGGCTTATCGTGAATAAGTTCTCACGGATAACGCTATGTGTAAAAGTCATCTCGGATCAGTTTCTTAGTACAGTAGCTAATGTCGCTGTCTTGAAATAATGTTGCGTCATTTAAATATCCAGCAATATTACAGACATTGAGTAGCTTGACTTGCCTCATGAATAAACTGGCTTATAATACCTGGGACATCTCAGTCACTGATATTCATGGTATCGAAACTACTGTGTATCCATTTTCGCTCTTTTAGTTCTATAACATGCTAAATCTGCGGTTATCAAGCGACATGTCATTATTAACTTATTCTGTTGTCGGCGTAGCCTTAATTACTTGAATCCCCACTTATCATTCTATCTATTTTATAAAAGTTAGAGGTTTTTGTTTACACGTTTGGTCATATATTCGCCTTACAGCCCGATTTGTTGGAGTTGTGGATAAGCTCGTGATTAAGTATGGTAATGTGAATTAAACCACCCAAACCCTTTACAAACATACTATGATATCAACTTAAATTTCGTAATCCCTCGATTCGATAAGACTGCATTCAATGTCAACAATAATGAACACTGAAGTAGGGACACTCGCGTGACTCAAATAACAGTCAGTAATACATCAATAACCGTCAGTGTTACTCGTCAATTCTGATGAAACAGAGAGAAAAATAATTGTCATGTTTGGTAATTAATTAAACTTATCTTTTCATCTTACTTCTGATCAACAAGATTCAACGACAAATGATTTTACCGAAGCAATCACACAATAAGTGTTTATGTATGCATCATGGTGTCTACGATTTTATTAGTCAGTCCAATTCATGATGAAGGATTATTTCCCATTGATTTCAAATAATTTTTAATAGAGAAATAAATAAATCTTGACTGTCATTTTTATTAGTTAATCCATTACATACTTGATAGGTATGAAAAAACTAAACCGAATTCTAAACAACTTGTATAGATATATTGCAGTATCGATTAATAACTGAAGTACTGAAATAGTAGAGGTACTGCTATCGATTAATGTAACCTGAAATTTATCACCAAGTAACAGATACTCACCTGTTTCAACTAGATTTAAATATGAAATGTTTCTAAGTGAACGAAACTACTGATTGTATGCTTCACATCCAACCTTATGGCCTATTTTCATCTGACAAAGACTGAAATTTTATCTGTTTTACAAGGCAATCTTTTCTCATGATTCGTATTCCAATATTCGCGTTATATATAATTAAAAGAAACAGAATGACAATCTAAGTCTTCCATCTTATATATGATAGTTGTTAAACATATATTAAGGGTGAAATATAACTATTTGGCTATAACAAACAAATATTTATCATTTAAATCTTATTTAACAATCGAGAATTACATTGTTTTTATGAAGCTATACATGAGTTGAATTGAGTTGTCTAAGGAAAAGTTAAATAATATTTAGGAATTAGATATGATCAGACTTTCACAGGTTATTCATTTATCTACTGACCCAATGTGTGACTCTGTATTAGCGAATTATCCGTCCAGTTTGTGTAATACAATGTATCAATCACTATGGTTATTTCATTTAGTAAATAGCAGTTCTCCATGGAACTATAGACTTGATATTTAGATTAAATTAAAATCAGATGTACAAATTTGAATGATAACTAAAGAATACATTATGGGCATTCTATCTTAGCGTATATGACATTCAGCAGTAAGTTGGAATGATTTATTTCAAATAACACTGTTGTATCTCGTTATTAGGATTTAGTACGGACCTACAAAACTTGCAGAACTAGGGAAACGATTTAGTTACCCAATACGATTGATTACATTTGTAATCATTAACGGCCACTAGCACAGAAAACGTCAACACCTGACTGTTAACACAAGGAGAGGACGAATCCTCAAAAAATATTTGATATTCAAAGTAGAAAATGCAGTGCAGACAGAACTGGTACAAATACGTACATATGATAACAAAAAACGATTTTCAAGCATACTGGAATTTAGTGAACTGAAAGCAATAACTACTAATCGGGAAAAAGAAAGTGTTTTGAGCAAAAATTGAATTAGATAAAAATTACTTGCTATTGTCGTGTTTAGTAAAATCTAAGTATTCATTTGATTGCCCTAGCGAGAATGTAGTACATTTACGAGCCGAGTAGTTTAGTCCATCATTTTGAAAATGTTATCTTTTAAATTCAGTCAATACTATGTAGTGGTTGACACAAAATGTTTCGAAGACTTGTTTAGATTAAGTATCGATACCGTTTACGAAGTTGACGTAGAATTATTTGTTCTATTTATTGCATTAAATATCCTTCAGTATACATCCATCGTTTTTATTTTTTCATTGTCAATATCTAATAGCTATTTTCTTAACCAGGTAACGACATTTTTTTTTATAAAAGACAAATTCGAGTCTGTTATACAATGACAAGTTCTTTAGTAATCAATTTATTAAAATGAATGTATTAATAATTCTGTGTTTAATCTCATCTCGTTCGATTGACAGTTAAGTATTAAGGAGTTTGTTTTAATATATTCAAAAATTATCGTCGTAAATTGAGGTTAAATATGAAGATAGCGAGTGATAAATATCTAGTTCTACCTGATTTATCATTCGTCTTTATTATTTATCAGACTGAAAAGTTTTATGATAGCGTTTATCATGATAAATTATTTGATTTTATGAAAAGAGTTTTTCTTCCTGATAATCTTGTCTACAATATTTTTTAAAAACTATTTTAGCAAACAATCGAATTCAAGTAAGCTACTGATTTTTACTGCAGAAGAGAACCATCCTTAATTTATTGAAACACTTGCTAACTGGCCAGCGATTACAAGACTGCATCACTGATGAGTCTTTACAATGTTGTTATGGTCACGAACTCGCTCGGAAGGATTCACCTTTAGGAAGTTAACCTACAATAATTTGGAAATTTCATAAAGTGAATGCTATTTGAAATTTTTTTATGGCTAATTTTGATCACATGATGATCCTTAATTGATATTATACACTGGTTTTTGATCATGTTTGTCAGTGCAGAACACACTACTCACGGATACTGTCGTATAAAAACTGAATGAAAATTAAAAAATCTGGTTTATCTGAAACCTATAATTGTATGCTATCACTGTAGGATGATTTGTGAAGATTGTAGTATTTTCATAGTTGTAATTACAAACTGATCTTAGCTATGCCACTACTGAAAGCCTAGAAGCAATGAATGGGCGTTTTGTTCTAGAATGGGATTCCTTAGCAGTGCACATGCACAACCCAACTTCCAGCAATGGAATCCAGGACTTTCAGTTCTACATGTAAATACTTAACCTCTAGACAAATGAGTCGACATCCAGCGTTCTTATTGTCTAACTTCCATCTATTCACGATATCGCTCATTGTCTGCTGTATACAGCTATCTGAAACCCGGCCCAATTGAACTCTACTGGTCATGGTTAGCCTCATGATGCAACTCCTAGAGTTCTAGTGAAAAACCATGACCAGTTAACTTCAGTCATCTCCAGTGTTAGAAAGTTATTGACCATAGTCAGCAGATGATTCTTGGGCTTCTAAGGTATCCCATTTTAAGAGAAATGTCTGTCCATTGATTTCAGGTTTTCCATGGGGGCCTAGCTGAGATCAGTTTGTGATTTGAACTATGGGTAGTGTTGTTGAGTTAGTGGAAAAATACTTACTTATGATTAGGATTCTAAGGTGAATAGGAATTAAATATTATCCAAAGGCTATTTAGAAAAAGACTAAGAATCTTCCAATGTTGGTTCACAGTTCTTATTCAAGAAACGAATTCAGAAAGTAACTTGTTCTAATCTACTAACTGCAGATAACACGGTGATTTCACAACATTTTTTAATGAATAGCTCTGACTTGAAATAGGTAATTTTGATCAAAGTGAACACTATGATATTTAGCTTAAATTTCCATTCAATCTATAACATACTTCAGTGTAATTTACTGACACCATTTATCATAAAACAATTGTATGACTATTCAAGTTCTTTACAGGCTAACAAGTTAATATTACGATAGATGAATTTTACTTGGCAAAGTCGATTCAATAAATGTATATTTGAATTGTAGTACTTTTATTAAAAATTATCTAGCGATTTTATAGATACATGTATGACCAGGATTCTACTGAGGTAATACGTATATATTCGATTACTTTTAGATGGATATACCAAATGAAAAATTATCACAGTTTAAATTACGAACTAATCTTCACTAGACCATTTTGTAACTTTGAAAGGACTGGAAAGCCCTTTCATTCTAGTATATAACTCCCGAGCAGTGCCTATCCACATCCAGGAATCGAACCCAGGACTTTCATTCTTCCATCCAAACACTTGACCTCTAGTCCTTGCTTTGAACAGTAAATTCCAAAACCTCTACAAACCCTCTGTACTTATTAAAATATGTTAACGATAAAGGAAATGTACTTTCAGTGATAATCTAATTTTTACCGCTTATATATGTTCAACATAATCCTTAGTCACAAAGATGATGTCAATTTCAGGAGCCAAAACATGATAGAGTGTTAGAAATAATGATAAGTATTTTAAAAATTGCTCATTCAGTCCTGTTTGTGATCAATATGAAACGAATGAAGTTTTTAACAATGTTAGATAATGCGCAAACTCAATGTATTTTATAAAATAGGTCAAACAATTATTAAAAACTAGCTGTAATCATAAACCACAGTACACTGACTAATGGTTAAGCGCTTTACAAATGTAGAAGGTGCAAAATAACAGGTTTTCATGAGATCAGTTAATTTTTTATGAATTTAAATTTGTGAAGTTTATTTTGTTGATAAAAAATTGTAATGAGGACGTATCCTGGATGAATTAGGGCAAACCGTAACTGATTCATTTCAGAAT